CGGCCGGCCGGAAGCGGTCGTCGTCCGATCGGTCATAGACAATGCAACCAAAGAGTTATGTCACCGTTGGTGTAAACTGGCGAGAAAAGAGGGGGCCCTCGACCTGACCGCTGTCGATTCGGTGATTTCGCGGGTTCCCGGCTCCCCACACGATCATCACCTCCTCACCGGCCTCCTCCTCGGCCTGCCCGCCGGCCTCGAGCCCTCGGGCGGCTGGGCGCCCGAATCGTCGACGCTTGCATCGTCGACATTCGCATCGTCGACGCCCGCATCGTCGACGACCGCATTGTCGACGCCCGTCTGTCCCGACTCGGCGCAGCACCCGGTCGCAATCGTCTTCCCCTACCGCAACAGGATGGCCCAGTTGACCGGCGTCCTAGGCCGACTGGTACCGATGCTCCGGCAACAGGGCCTCTGTTTCGTCATCTTCGTGGTCGAGCAGGCCGGCCAAACCGATCTGCCCTTTAACAAGGGCCGTCTCATTAACGCCGGCTTCCTCGAGGCCGAGCGCCGATTCCCGCTCGCCTGCTTCATCGTCCACGACACCGATCTGGTACCGTTGCACCCCGACCAGCCCTACTCCTGCCAGTCGGCCGGGCAGGCCGACTCTCTGGTCGTTGAGCATCTCGGCGTGCGCACCCACAACGCTCGCTTCCAGCTGCCCTACCCGACGCTGATCGGCGGCGTACTCAAGTTCTCCCGGCTCGCCTTCCAGCGAGTCAACGGGTTCTCCAACGAGTACTGGGGCTGGGGTCTGGAGGACGACGACATGGAGTTGCGTCTTCGAGAGGCCAGCTTGCAGTTGAGGCGGCCATACTGGGCCACTTCGATCTACTTCCATCAGCAACACGACAGGCAGATGATATTCTCGAACAATGGGAGCATGCGCCAAAAGCTGTTGGGCAGCGCCAGAAATCGCATGCTCAAGGACGGCCTAAACAACCTCAACTACACCCTGATCGGGGTCCATGAGACCTGGCTGTACACGCATCTGCTGCTCGATGTTGGCCGCCCGCCGTGATGACATGAAAACACGGCATAGTTAAACAAATGCAGATAAACTTTGTAAGATTGCACGGATTTCATTCGATGCCCACTCGGCTGAACGAACTCAAGACGGCCCAACGTGCGAGGCTGAGCAGGCCGCAACCGGCACAGGAGGACTGACATGTACAATTAATAAGAGTTTGCCGTAATGCTATTACACAATACCATGCTTCTAGTTACATTTGTCCACTATCCTCTTTTAAAGGTTAAGCCAAGAGAAGCTTTCAAGCACACACATTTATTGTCATTGGTTGCTTGAAGAGATTCAAGAAGACCGATGGTTTCCTCTTCTCACAATAACACCAATAAGACCCAGGATGCCAAAAAATCTTTGCTTCCCAAATATTAGTTATGTGATGTGTTCTTTCTATTTCGTTTAAATTTATGAAGAACCGGCAGTTGAATTTTCCCACAATGATATGAGTAGACATTAACTTTCCAGTAAAGTTCACACATATTTGCCTCCCAAAAGGTATTATCATCCAGGCTAGAATAAACTGCAGTTTCGACCTCGCCCAGGCCTCATCAGCACCCCAACGGGACTCTGAGCATGAAAGGTCACCACGCCACCTTGTCCTTGGGTCACAGGGCAAAAGTGAACTTCAAGGAAAGCCTGGCATTTTTCCATAACACATCCTGTGGTGGGATTATCGATGAAGCAAAGTTGTATTTGCTATAACAATCGACTAAATAGATTTTAACTAGTGGTAATGTAGTCGATTGCTGTAGCAAATACAATTTTGCTTCATCGACCACCACAGCATGTGACGTGGAAAAATGTCTGGCCTTTCTTGAAGTTCACATCTGCCCTGGGACTCGTGGCAGTCGTGGCAATAGGACGTGGTCGTTAAAATTTACAGATTACACACTGCACTGTCATGGTTCAAGTCCCGCTGGGGGTGCTAATGACAGGTCGAAACGGCAAACACATTTTGGGAAAGTAAGGCTATTTGAGAATCAAATCAAACGTCAGTTCTACTCATAACATTGCAGGAAAATTCGTCTACCATTCCTTCATTAGCTTAAATGAAATAGAGTAAACACATGTTATATAGCTGATTTACTGGTAGTCTCAAAACTCTATTTACAATCGAAATCTAGGTTGTATTCTCCCTATTTTGTTTGAGGTTGTGAAATGAGTAAGCCCGCATAGTTCCAGAAAATTTTACATACCCTTGCTTATCAAAAGATATTCACATTCCATCTGGACTAGACTGCCCCTCTTACCTCGCTCAGGTCTCAACAGCACGCTCAGTGGGACTCGAATCTGGGTTGTGGCAGTGTAGGGTATAGTCTTGACAAATTGCCCACTACGCCACACGGCCATGAGTGTCCTCTTATCAAAGAGCAGAGCCGAGCTTTATGAAAGCCTAAGCCTTCCTATATCATATTTATATGATGAAATTGTCAATTAAGCTAACACTTATATGCGATTAGAAGTGACTAAATTACTTACTTTTCGTTTAAGTATAGATTTCAAGACCACTTGTAGCGCAACCGGGCCCGTCTTCTCTTATCTCCAATTCAAGTTCTCCTCACCTCTTCTGTATTCCCCTACCATGTATCTCCCACGTCGACTAAAATCACACATATCATCACTTTCTCAATCCCCTTTTCTCACCTAGTCTCAACTAATTGGATTTCATATAATCTCCCCTACGCAACACACATCGCATTGTTAATATTATAATCTACCCTGTATGATAGCATCCATATTTATACACTATTTAGTGGTAAATTGCTCTAACAGTATCACGTGCCCAACAAAATATTCAAAAATGATATTATGTCTCTTGCAGTCTTTACGATTTGGCTCTATCCATCTCTACTCGAATCTAAGTCACACAACTAAAAGAGGATATTTTCTCCGAGTACGATATAAATAGGTGGGCACTCGAATGAGTAAGACAATTCGCATAAAATATTGTGGCACGACACTTCATTTCGAAGGGTAAGTTGGTTGGAAGTAATTCGTGATGTGGTCTCATCGGAAACCGAAGGAAGATTGTCGCGTAAGGAAGACTGTTTAATTGTGCGAAGGTGTCCTCGGCTCACCGTCCCGTGACCCCGATGAAACTGTGCTAAGTTTTTGTCTGTATCGCCGTGACAGACAGCATCAGAGCAAAATTCCGTACTTAACAAAGGAGAGCCGACTGCAACCCTAATCACACGAGTATGCAGCTAACCTTGCGATCTTAATGAAGCATTCCTTGATTTAGTTAACTATTCCAAATTAACTCTACATGCCTTCAGATGAGTAAAGTTACTTCATGAACCTGAAGTGGATTC